TTCAAACTTAAAAAAAAACTATCATAAAACAAAAAATTATCAAATTAAAATTAAAATTTCGAAACCGAATTCCAAACGAAAGTGAGCAGAGAAATTACACAAAATATGTTATCTGCATTCAAATTACGCGACGCATTTCACGATGCATGTGAACGAAGCTGAAAATACAATTTAAAAATTGAACACAAGAGCTTTTTTGTAGAAACCCAAAGCACAATAGCAAACAGGTACCTCAATGTTTCAATGTCGGTTTCAACTTAAATTTTCAGGTCGTATTACAAATATTTAAAATTAATTGGATTAAAAATAACATTCTATTAAATACACAATAAGATCTAAAGTCGTTTATTTCGAAAACATTGCAACACAACAAAATATTAATTAATACCACTTAGAATGGGTATTAAAAATGATGTGTTCTGTAATAAATCGTATGTTACTACTAACAAGGACTAATATTAATGATATTAGGCGTAAGCGTATCACCTTTTAGTTGTGAAGTAGTCGTAATATCAGTTTCACCTATATATTCTATCGCGCTCACGGTTTGTTCGGTATTCGAATCAATGTATATATTTAGATATTTTACGTTTTCGTTTCGAGTAGATATTAGATATTCTGCGATTCAGACACCGCTAGCTGTATTGCCGCGGCAGCGATATCTAATATCTAATATATAGTCGGTTTGTCGTCCGATATATAGATGTTGAATATTGTCCTGATATATAGATATTGTATCTATATACGATTTGTATCGCCCACTCCTACTTATCAAAATAAACACTGGACGACGCCACAATAAAAGTTTTAGAAAAAGGTATGAATTTCGCAATAACACCGCAAAAAATACCGTATGAGGACATGATCTGTAGTGTTGAGGACTGTCTGTATAAAAATAACATTGGTAATGAAGATTAAGAGGCCATACGTCAAGACATTTCATCTATGTTACGTCGAAGTTCAGCGCCGAAATTAAATCTTCCCAAAAATGAATTTAACGCGTTGAAAAACTTACGCAACAGACCAGAGCTTACGATTCTCCATGCAGATAAGGACAATGCTACGGTTATAATGGATACGTCAGATTACAATTTTAAAATACAACAACTTTTATCGGATGAAACTACATACCGAAAGGTCAAAACAGACCCTACAACTAATACGCTTAAAACAACTAGCGATCTAATTAAGAAATACTGCGAGAAATTGAATCTGGACGTTAATTCGATAATATCTTCATGTGCCAAACCTAACCACCGAAGTTGTATGGGTTACCAAAAATACACAAACCGAACGCTCCATTACGTCCAATAGTGAGTCAGATTGATTCGCCAACTTACAGATTGGCTCAATACTTAGCTAAAATATTATCACCACTCAGAGGACACACGAGAGCTCACACTAAGGATTCATACCATTTTGTCAGTGAGATAAAAGACCTACGTATTACTGACAATGAAACCATGGTCAGTTTTGATGTTCAGTCTCTATTTACATGCCTACCTGTTGATGACTGCATCTCAATTATACCTAGGAAACTACAGGAAAATAATATGCCAGCGGAATATGCAGTTTTACTCAGACATTGCCTTACATCTGGCTATCTATTGTGGAAGGAAGAGTTTTACAAGCAAGTGGATGGTGTTGCGATGGGCTTACCTGTATCTCCTATTGTCGCCGATATATTCATGGAAGACTTTGAGGAGACAGCCCTCCTTACTGCACCTGTTACACCAAGGATCTACAAGCGGTACGTAGACGATACTTTCACAATTTTACCATCAGACAAAGTAACTGCATTTTTAGAACATCTTAATTCCATAAACTCTAAAATTCAATTTACTATGGAGTTAGAGGCAAATAATTCCTTACCTTTCCTAGATGTGTTAGTCATCCGAAATCCTAACAACACCATTGGTCACACTGTGTATAGGAAAAAGACCCATACAAACCGATATTTAAACGGTGAATCTCACCACCATCCTTCACAGTTAGCTACCGTGGGCAAATCTTTGTTACAGAGAGCACGAGGAATCTGTGACAGCAAACACCTGGCCGCCGAGCTTCAGCACGTCAAGCAAGTTCTGCACGACAACAAGCTTCGAGTCCCGCGCCTACGTCACAGTGACCGAGTGAAGCTGGCCACAGTCGAGCGTGTGCCTGCTGTACTACCATATGTTAGAGGTGTCACAGACAAGATTGACTACATCTTGAAGCTAGCTTCTATTAGAACATTCTACAAGCCGCCGAAGAAGATTAGTCAGTTCCTACCATCAGTCAAGTGTCATATTCCTCTACAAGATGCAGGAGTGTACAAGATTGATTGTGAATGTGGTCTCTCTTATATAGGACAAACAAAAAGATCAATTAGAACCCGCGTAAAAGAACATATAGCTGATGTGAAGTGTGGTCGTGAAAGGAAAAGGGGAGGTCTCCCGCCGGGCAAGTTGTTATGCCCGGGGAGCGGCCAACACTCCATGTGATAGTTCGGAGAAGTTCTATATATACTGTTTATGATACGGAATGTTCATAGCGCGATTTAGGCTTCGGTGTGTTTTCGTTTGTGGCGCGACGACAGCGCCGCTGCATCACCCCCTGCTCAGACCGGAGGTCGAAAGTGCACCTCGTTGCCGACGAATGTGCAAGTGCCAGGAGATTGCCTTGTAGTCTGCGGTGATTCGAGAAGAAGGCAAGTAATCTGCGAGAGTGCCGTGAAGCAGAGGCGAGCAGTAAGGCTCAGAACCGTGCCGAACACTGTAGCGCAGAGAGTAGCTTGAAGGAACAGGAAGCATTATTATTCCAGTGCTGCGATGAACCTTGTGAAGCTAGATGGCTTGCAGGATATGAAGACTGCAGCCGATATCTACTCGCGAGCGAATGGGTGGGGTATTCTATGACGATAACGAAGCTTGAAGTTTCCGAAGGTTGTTTGGTTGCGTGTTCAAATCACGTCGGGGTCACCACTGTGGCCGTGAAAGGAAAAGGGGAGATCTCCCGCCGGGCAAGTTGTTATGCCCGGGGAGCGGCTAACACTCCATGTGATAGTTCGGAGAAGTTCTATATATACTGTTTATGATACGGAATGTTCATAGCGCGATTTAGGCTTCGGTGTGTTTTCGCTTGTGGCGCGACGACAGCGCCGCTACAGAAGCATCAACGTTCCGGGAAGTCTGCAGTTTGCGATCATATCCTAGGCGGCCCCAACCATTACATCAGATTTGATAGACCACAATTCCTCGCGAAAGAACACCGATTCCTACCAAGGATGATACGTGAGCCTATTGAAATTAAAAAACATCCTAATTTCAATAGAGAAGGAGGCTGGGTACTACCACCTGCTTGGGATGCTATAATCAATAAAATTAAAACTAAACCCAAGCATACCACTGCAAGACCTCAGGACATAGTCAGCTCATTTTGCATAGATCGGACCATAAACAATAATTAAAAAAAGCTGAAGGTACTCCGGGTTTAACAATGACATCGGGACGTCAGTCATCTCAGTCCCCCGTGACCATGGGTGCTGGAAAGCGCCCGAAACGTCGGGAATTAAAAATAATAGTAAAATAAACGCGATAAAATCCGTAAAAGTAGTTTTAATCAATGTCGAACATCTTATTCAGGGGTCACACACACCGCGTTGTTTCCCGAACCCAACGAGGTGTGGTATAGGAAAGGGGATCAGTAATTGGTTGATCACTGCTGCGGACGTAAGATGAAGAACGATATCCTCCTTTTCAACTAGTCACTCGCCTTGGCATCGCTTGTATACGATCTATTAATGTGTTGTTGTTTGGATAAATTATAGGTTAGATCTGTGGTTAGATCTCTGTCGGTATTTCTATCTATGTTTGTAAACTTTCATCACAATCGGTTCAAATCGGCACAAAGATTAGCCCGGATAAACATACAGACAATCAAAAAAATTAAAAATTATTCTTTATGTCTTAATAGCATGCAAGTAACTCCCTAAGCTTATTAGAAGTTAGTTATTTTAATATTACAGACAGATACTTCATGTATATTTATTACGATACATATAGATGTAAACACTCCATTAAATTATTAATATAATAAATACGCACTTTGACCATTTGATCGTTGCCGCCAGTGACGAATAATTCTCCATCTTGGGTGATATGCAAACCGTTGATAGCGCCGACTTTACTTGCTTCTAGCTGTTGATGATATATTAGCGACATGCTTTAATAAAGTAGTAATTAAAAAAAAACATAATAAACTGTTTGTGAATTGAGAACCAATTTAGACGATTATTTTTATTAAAGTTGTATTCAGAGTTGAATTTGGAGAACAGTTTCACGCCTAATAGTGGCTAAATAAGGGGTGAAGTTTTATGTAACTATTTCGACGACATCACGATTGCGATATTGCTGAGAATTTCTTCACAGAAAAACCCAATAACTGATGATTGATTATAGCCCGACTCGATTTGAACTCGGGATCATAATGATCAGTAACCGCGTTTACGATCAGAATACCAACGGGGACTCAGGTGTAAAAATATGGTGGTGGTAGTGATAGTGGTGGTAGTAGTAGCGGTAGTAGTATTAGTAGTTGTGGTAGTATTAGTGGTTGTAGTGATAGCGGTGGTGGTGGTGGCGTTAGTGTTAGTAGTGGTGATGGTATTGGTAGTGGTAGTGATGATGGTAATGGTGGTGGTGATGGGAGTATTGGAAGTTGTGTTGGTAGTGGTAGTGATAATGGTAGTGGTGGTGGTATTTGTTGTGGTGGTGGTAGTGATGATGGTAATGGTGGTGGTGGTAGTAGTATTGGTAGTGGCGAATTGGCGATAGTGATGATTGTAGTGGTGGTGGTAGTATTAGTAGTGGTGATGGTAGTAATAGTGGTGGTGGTGGTAGTGATAGTGGTGGTTGTAGTGGTGATGGTGGAGGTATTTGTAGTGGTGATGGTGGTGGTAGTTTTGATGGTAGTGATAGTATTAATAGTAGTGATGGTAGTGGTAGTGGTGGTGGTGGTACCTCGCGCGCCAGGTTTCCGGTGGCGGCCTCCCAGTAGGCGACGCGGCGGTCGCTGCCGGCGGTCAGCAGCTGGCAGCCGCGCGGCTCCCAGCACGCGCACATGAACAGCGTGTTCGCGTACAGCACCTGCCGCCGCGACAGTGACCTGCCCAACCCACACCACCCCCACCACTTAATTTTTTATACAGTATGAGTGACACACGCGAGCATATAGTCCACCTCATAGTCAGTGACCCCATGGCCCATTGACATCTACATATATCCTCCATTAACAATCAAAATGATGTAATTGCCCAACATTTTTCAAAACTTTCCACATGTATAGACAGATCAGATCTTTCAGATCAGATCAGACCTTTGGTCCTCCGACAGATGGGGCTATCTTAAGGCCCGCGTCCTCTAGGCTCGCCGAGCCAAGTCGAATCGAATCGCAGAAAGTCGCCTCCTATATATTTACTTTTTTTTATTGAAGAGGAGGTAAACGTGCGTGCGACTCACCTGATGTTAAGTGACTACCGCCGCCCATGATCAACCGCAACACCAGGGGAATTGCAGGTGCGTTGCCGGCCATTTCATTTACTATGATGGCCCGGCCACACTAAGGAGAAATACCGTTAATTATCGCGTTGATGGACGTTGAATGTAGGTGTGGCCGCGAATTAACGCGATAATTTGACAATGGCATTAACAATGCCGTTTCCCGTTTGCCGATAACTCGAGTGGCGGTACATCAAAGGATTAACGCGCGAATTATCGCGTTGAAGCGGCTATACTACGTTAACTACGTTTGTCTCATTGTGCACGGTGAGTGCCACGGGGTTGCACGTATGGCTGCGATGGAGTGGAGTAATGAAAAAGCTTTTCGAGATTGAATTAAAAAAATTATTTCAAAAGTACTTTAATTTACGGTATGAAACTAAGAAAAATAAGCAGGAGAAAAAAAAACAATTTTTGCAGGTCAAAATTCATAGTGTACAGTGGTACGAAACCCTGGGTACGTGTATCTAATTCGCACTCGAGCAGTATTTATGATTGGCTTATTATTGAATAAAACTAAATTTACGGATTTTATCGCGTTTATTTCATTACTTTACTTATTTTTAATTCCCGACGTTTCGGGTGCTTTACAGCAACCATGGTCACAGGGGGGACTGAGATGTTTGACGTCCCAATGTCATTGTTAGCCCGGCTACCTTCAGTTTTTGAATATTAATTTTTGGTCCGATTTACGCAAAACGAACTTACAGTATCTTGAAGTCTTACAGTGGTATGCTTGGGTTTGGGTTTAATTTTGTTAATTATAGGATCCCAAGCAGATGGCAGCACCCAACCATCTTCTCTATTGAAATTAGGATGTTTTTTAATTTCAATAGCCTCGCGTATCATCCTTGGTAGGAATCGGTGTTCTTTTGCGAGGACTTGTGGTTTATCAAATCTGATGTAATGGTGGGGACGATCTTGAACATGTTCACAGACTGCAGACTTCCCGGAATAAACGCGATAAAATCCGTAAATTTAGTTTTATTCGATGTGTAGTGTTCGCGTAAATTTAAGAAATCATTATTGGCTTATTAGTTATTATTTCATTAAAATATATTTACATTTGTCTTATTATTTAGCTTAAACCATTGGACGTCTTTCAAGTGCAATTTTGGTGCGGGAAAACAAAATAAAACATAAATAGATTTACAGTGTACGTTTCCTGTGCATTTGTAGCACCCACCATCTTCTTTTTCTTTGTATTCTTTTTTTCTTTGTTTATTTTTTTATTTTAAAGGATATGGTGACAAACAAGCACACAGTCCACCTGATGGTATGTGGATCTATCCTCGATTACGAATCAAAATGCAGATGCGTTGTCACCCGTGAGGACTAGGATGGAATGCCTCGTTTCCAGTAAAAAGAGTCTCCGGTTTTCTACACTCACCATACGAAACACAGCAGCATTAAGCTACTATTTTACGCTGCTATTCTGTGAGAGCGTGGTCCTTCCCCGGTCGAAACATTTTACGCCGTTCAACGGCAAATTTAACGCCGTTCAACGGCAAATTTAATGCCGTTCAACGGGAAACGACGTTGACCGTTCAAGTGTAGCCACTCATTTTATCGCGTTAAATTTAAGGCAATAATTGTTGCGTTTATGGGCATTGACGTTGCTCGTTAGTGTAGCCGCAGCATGAAAATGCGGCCATTAGCAACGAGCTGCGGCGCGCCGAATTGAATCGACCGCGCGAATTGCTTGACAGGCGAATTTCTTCGCCGACGAGATTCGATTCGATTCGATTCGGCGCGCCTTAGTCCTCTATACACTCTTATCTACGCCTCAGTCGACGCGGAGAAGTGAATGCGCGCTAACGTATTTTTAATAATTTCTATGTTTTCATAAAAATCTTTTTGTTTAAATAAAAATGAAGAATTTTCATAGGATAAACAAAAGTATTGAAAAATTTAAGGGGATCACTTTTCAAATCTGGTTATAAAATATAAATGATGAAATTCACCATAGTTACTTCTTTTCATATAAATGTGTATCCAGTATTTGGGAGCACGCCGTTTCCTTTTTCTATTCTCCTCTGCGTCATCAAAAAGTATATGAAATAAATCTCACATCTCTTCATATGAGCTGTCCATGACGCAAAAACGACCTAATTTGATGAAGAGTTTGCGATGAATGAGCTATTCGATTCGATTCTTCAGGGATGGACTCACTAGGAATAAATGCGACTCGTTTCGATTCCACGCGTTTCTACTATAGTCGACGCCAGGCTTTATATTCATCGCAGTACCAGGCAGGCCGATATTTAGTTAAGCTGAAATTTCACAATGTCTATATTTGTAGTATACTATGGACTCGACTCAAATTATGACATTGTGTAGTTTGAGCTTTAACTCGAGATTTTCTATGAATATCAGTAAAACTTACAGATCTGTGTCAGAGAGTAGTGTTAAAGGTGTGAGGCAACTGGTACTGCGATCGGTGATCCATCTGCCAAGCCAAGCCAAGACATATCTGAAGCTGAAATAACTTTCAGCATCTTCTTTTTTAGTTTTTTTTTTGATAAAAACATGAACACTAGAACAAACATCCAGACCCGGGTAAAGGTGAACGTTTTTGAAACGGCTAACACAACCCCCCCCCTCCCCCCGAATGGCCGATCGAGGTGGGGCTGGTACCGTTCGGTTCATAGGGTCTGAGCATTTGTTTATCAGTTAAAGCCATGGACCATTGATTGTTGGAACACCGTGTTTTCGAGTACGAAAGCTTCATGTGAAATGACGTGAATTCCGTCGCGTAATAGGAAACATTCGCCTCCTCATAACTGTAATTATGACGATGAGAATGTTTCCTATTACATTGAAATGAAAAAAAAAACATAATAACAAATAGTGATACAATCCGATACCGTTACCGTTACAGCCTATTAAAGTCCACAGCTGAACATAGCCCCCCCCCCCCCCCCATAGGGGAAATTTGCCATAGTTGTCACACTTGGCATACGGGTTGGATAATGCGGTTTTTTCATTTTTAGTCTTCATTAGGAAGGCGCCGCTGCCCATCTCCTAATTTGTTTTCCTCTGTCTTCTCTTACCTACGGGATGATATGGGGAAATGGATATCCTTACACCACTTCACGATAAATCACATACACTACATACATCAAATCCCAAATAATGCAGGAGCCATCGGTTCCAGCGCTGACGGCCTCGATGTCGTTGGGCGACACCTGAATGGCAGACACCGGACTCTTGTGCTCCTTTAACACCTTCTTCAGGGTCTGGGTCTCGGGCTTTATGTCCCACACGCGCACCTTAGAATTATTGAAATTTATCGATGTTGACAGTTCCAAATACCAAAGTTACAAGTGGTAAAATTAAAAATTTTGTACAACCGACTTCTATACGACCGAATCAATGTATTCGAATTCTATAAAATACGCATTATTAAAGATGACTCATAAACTTCTTATCAGATCTCATATCAGATTAAATTTATATGCGACCACACGAGAAGCACTAGCTTTCATATAAAAAAGAATCATCAAAATCTATTCACTCCTGGAAAAGTTATGAGGTAACACACAATAAAGAACATACAGTCAAATTGAATACCTCCTTTTTGAAGTCGGTAAAAAACTACCTATATAGGTACTTAGTATAAAATTTGAGTGGTCAGGATCACAATTCACTGCACTGCACAAAGCGACGATGGATGCATCGATGAGCATAAATTGTAATATGCAATAGATCTACGAATACGTTACATAAAAGAAATCAAAATCGTTGGTCAACTCTAATTGTATTGTTTCTTTACCACTACATATATACGTTTTACTATTCCATTATATAGCATTACATTATTCATAACGATCGCAGGGTGTTTAAATTATTTTTAAATCTCAAATTATTCTCTTACTCAGAAATAGTAGACACGTATAACCTGTGTACCACACAACACAAAAAATGATGCCAAGGAATGCCATAAAACAGTGCAAAGCCACCTGATTACATCTATTTTCTGTATGTCTTACCAGGTTGTCAGTCCATTTAGTAGGGTTGCCGTCTCATACATATGACGAGGACGGTACGGGGATTCCGTTTTTTTTTTATAATAAGGATAACAAACGAGCACACAGTCCACGGAAGTGGATGCTGTTGCCCATAGACATCTACATGTATCCTCGATTAAAAATCAAAACGCAGATGCGTTGTCACCCCTGAGGACTAAGATGGAATGCCTCGTTTCTAGTAAAAACGGTCTCCGGATCTCTATACTCACCATACGAAACAAAGCAGCATTGAGCTGCTATTTTATATTTATTTTATAGTTACGCTGGTATTCTCTTAGAGCGTGATCCTTCCTCAGTCGAGCCGACCCATTCGTGCTACAAAATATATATAGCGTGGCTCTACCACGTAGACAACACTCTACCACGTAGACAACAACTTCTTCCCTCATGGGTCGTCGATTCTTCGAGGTATATGGCTGGACCATTACCAACATTGTCCGCTAAAATACTGCAGACCGTCTTAGTCACGGAATCTTTTACGCAGAGAAACTCCGAGTATAGTCCTCTCCACTGTCCTTTGAGCGGCACTGAGTCACTGAGCTTCATACGACATCATGTCCAAGTTCCATGTGTGGCGGCGCTGTCGTGGCGCCACAAGCGAAACACATCGAAGCCTAAATCACGCTATCAAAGTTCCGAAATAACACAGTTATATCAGCCTATCAAAAGTCCACTGCTGAATACAGACCTCGCCGTAGATTGTATCATAAGGGGTTGTCACATTTAGATGGCGAGTGGGCAAACGTAGTTTTTTATTATTTTGAGATTTCATGAAGGCGATACTGCTGCCCATCCCCTCTTTGATTTTCCTCGATCGATTAATAAGAGCCGTGGTAGCTCAGGGGTTAAGCACTTGCTTTAACAATACGCGAGCAACCCCGGTTCGATCCCCGCTGGTATCAATGAAATTGTTAATTGCAATTTTGTGTGCTGATTTACCACGTGCTCGGAGGTGATGGTGGAGATGAAGTTGTGTGCCCAACAGTGGGACTTATTTAGGCTGTAGCTTTATTTTTTTATACTTTTAATTTTAATCGACTCAATATCCACGACATAATATGAGGAAGAGTAATCCTAAGCCGCAAGGTACGCCACCTTTATGATTCTTACCGTGTTTTCGGAAGGCAGGATGTACTCCTGACTTAGTAAGTACAGTTCCGAGTGAACGACGAATGATTCTTTCCTTTAAAAAAATCTTGGTCTCGAGACTGTATTCTCCAAGGCTTTCGTCATCACTGGATATCAACGTCGTGGTTTCACCGCATCCTATACTGAATGATGAAATATCAATAGCATTTCATTATTAACTCAAAGGTCAGTTATTTAACTTATTACCTACGTCATAAGTCATGCCAAAAAAGTTCATCACTAAGCATGAGTTGCGTTGAAACCATAACACTGATATCAAATGATGACCAAAGCCTTGGAGAGTACAGTCAAGAAAAATCACTCGATCAATCATTCTTCCTTCTTTCTTTCGTTAGTGTCAGAAAAATGGAGACGACCACAACACCTCGAACGTAAAAGTCCAAATTTTGGCTCATTCGAATCCAAGGAAAGCTTAGCTATACATCTTAGTATATCGATACTAAGATGTATAGCTAAGCTATTGCTTTATTCATAATGGAACAAGTGAACATTAATGGTTTGTAATTAAAAAATGTGTATCGAAAGGCACCTGTCCTTCGCAACCGCCGGATATGAGCGTGCGCCCATCGGAAGTCATGTCGAGTGCGGAGGTGCCCTTGTTGTGTGTGTTGAGTATGCAGTACATCAGGCGGCCGGTGAGAGGCGTGAAAGCTCGGATGTTACCATCGTTCCACGCTGTCAGAACACACCAACATTTTATACAGAGTTATTTTTCAAAGTTTAGCCAAATTTTAACCTTAAGTCCAAATATATAAATAATGTTATACCGTTGTATCAGTTTTTGAAAATGCGAGTAAATAAAGCTTTTACTCTTATTTGAAAATATCCAAAATTGAATTTGAATTATGGGCAACAACATTATTGCCTCCTGATCATTACCGAGCATTTTGAATTTAAAAATAAAAAGGACAGAATCTTTGAGTTTTTTTCTTCTTTACCATTTTCCTATAGGTATTACTTATTCTGAACCTTATTATATTGCATAATAACCCTGTATATAAGATAGCGTCGAATTCAATATAAGAATTCGGCTAACTCCGTACAGAGGTTTTATGACGTATACAAAAATATCAATCAACTTACTTTCAAGAGTTTAGCCACATGAATTCCATTTTGTTATAGAATTTTTTATACATATTATTTGCAACCTATGGAAAATACGACGCAATCTATTGAAGCCTATGTATAGCAATTTTAATAGGCTATAACGGTAACGTAATATAGTATTTACTCTTTGTTGTTTATTTATTTAAAATTTACATTTAATTTCAACTATTTTGTAAAACTTGATTAATAATGATAAGCTCTTACAACTTCTGTAAGTAAGGGTGACAACATACCATTATATATATATATATATATATATATATATATATATATATATAATATAGCATTAAGTGGATTCTGTGGCTTATAGATTTAGACCTAGATCTCGGTGTTTCTTCTAGTACAAAGTTCATATTATTTTTGTTATTTAATAGATAAAGATAATAAAAGAGCACACAATTCATCTGATGGTAAATGGATGCTGTGGTCCATATATACCTACATCTTTATTTGATTAAGAATCAAAATGCAGATGCGTTGTCACTTTTGACGATCAAAATAGAATGACTGTAACCAGTAAAAAGATATCCGGTTTTCTATACTCACCATACGAAACACAGCAGCAATAAGCTAATATTTTACGCTGGTATTCTGTGTCCTCGGTCGGATCAACCCAATCGTGCTGCAGCCGTAATACAGCTGCAGTGTGCTTATACCACGTTAACAATAACTTATCACTTCAATGTGGTGCACTGACCGGAGACGATGGACTTGCCGTCGCCGGAGAAGAGAACGGCGGCGCAGGTGAAGTTGGGCACGACGATGCGCAGCAGCTCGCGCGCGCTCTGTACGCACCACACGCGCACCGAGCCCGCGCCTGCCGTCGCGAACACTCCCGACATACCTCTACACACTCCCACTAAATATACTTTACGTTTACGTTACCTTAACAGCCTACCGAAAGTTCACTGCTGAACTGCTATAATCAGGAAGTTGCCCATCTACTGGTTCATTTTCCCTCTGCCACCACCTCTACCACCTCCTATGGGCCCTATATACGAAACGATTCGTCGTTACGATCAATTTGAAAGGATATCGTGACGATAGATCGCTCAAAGCTTACCGCTCATACACGAAACGATTGGTCGTTGCGATCGATCATTTACTCGTTTGAAACGGAATGACAAAGACTATCTCACAGACAGAAAACGGAAAATTAAAACACATTTTAAAATGGAAAGTAAGCTTTTCTAAGCCTATTCGGCGGTATATTCCACAAAAAAAATGTATATCGAAAGACGCGCGCGACACAAGTGACACCTTTAAAAAAATACGTGAAATATAAAATACAAATACTTTACGGCAAATGATTTATTTAATATTATAATTTAAACTACAAGTTCGGCATAAAATATAAGAAAATTTAATTTAATAGTAAATAAATGTAACAATCCCTGTATATATATTAGATACATAGGTATTATATTTTCTTTCGAGTAAAATTATAATAGCGCCACCTACTTCATTCTATAAGTAGTCACTTTATCGAACAACTGATTGACACCCAAGGTGGTACGTAAAATAGACGCTAGGTGGCCTGAATTTCTGAAATCATGAATTTTTTATAGGATAAGGGTGACAAACGAGCACACAGTCCACCTGATGGTAAGTGGATGCTGCGGCCCATAGATACCTACATTTAACCTCGATTAAGAATAAAAATGCAGATGCGTTGTCACCCCTGAGGACTAAGATGAAATGCCTCAATTCCAGTGAAATGGGTCTCCGGTTCTCTACACTCACCATACGAAACAGCAGCATTAAGCTGCTATTTTAAGCTGGTAGTGGTATTCTGTGAGAGCATCCCCCCGGTCGCCGAACTCCCCCAATACTGCAGCGTGACTCTAAAACGTATAAAAATTAAAAAACATTAATGTTTTTTATATGGTTAATTCTATTTGTTATTTTTTTTACTGTTTAGCACCGCTGCCACGTAGCTAGCTGCCATTTCTATATGAAAATCATAGATTATGAAAAGTGAACCATACAGATGGGAAACGCACGAAACTACCTACTACCGGTTTTGATGGTTCTTTTTTATTCAAATTAATATTACTTCGACTCATTTATTTTATTACTTATTATAATAGCGGGAAATAGAGTAAATGGGGCCTTGCACTCTATTGTGAAGAGTCAAAATGTGTCGAAAAAGCACGTATGGCAATTCACAATGCTGTGTTGGTCCCTACTTTAACGTATGGTAGTGAAAGTTGGGTGTGGCAGAAGAAGCACGAGAATAGAATAAACGCAGTAGAAATGCGGTCGTTAAGGAGTATGTTAGGGCTGAATCTGAATGACAGGGTAAGAAATTGTGTAATAAGAGAAGAGTGTGGTTTGCAAGATGATGTTGTGACCAGGATTAAGAAAGGAATGCTTCGGTGGTTTGGTCATGTGAAAGAATAGGAAAGAATGACAAAGAGAATTTATGGTGCAGAAGTGAATGGCAGAGTCGGAAAGGGACGTCCTAGGCGAAAATTTATCGACCAAATTTGCGATTTATTGAAAACGGGCCAAATTAGGAGTACCCTTAACCGACGAGCATGTATGCGTGTATGGATGTGAAAGAGGCAAGAGAGGTGTATCAGGATCGTGCTAAATGGAAGTCTGTAGTCTCTGCCTACCCCTCTGGGTGACAGGCGTGAGTGTTTATGTTATTATATTTAAACGACATATTTTAATCTGACCATGTTTAAAATATCTAAAGAAGTCTTCGAATTTGTTAATGTACTTTTAAAAGTATGGGACAAACACAAATTTTTATGACGAGTAGATTAATTTCCCATGGAATATTTATACTCTTTTCGATATACCTTATGTAGTACTCACTAATTACAAAAAGATTTATATCACTTGTACCTATTACGAAGTTGAGGATTGGCCGTTCTTCACTGCTTATTTATTCCATAGGCACACGACACCTTCGTAGCTTGTTGAACAAAACGCGTAAGCGATGCCGTTTTGGCGGCGTTTACGACTTTTTTCTCGCGAGCATTGAGCTACAATGTTTCCTATATCATTTTCTCCCACGTTAATTCTTATGATTTATGTGTCTGTCTCTTTTTACTGTCGCTTTTTCATTTCATAGACTTTCAAATCACTACGATCATAAAGAAGTTTTCACCTCAAAAATCAATGCAAATCCACGAAGAGAACTAAATTTTTTTCAGAAGTCAAAATGATGATGTTGACAAAGAACTGTTTCTGTATCGGTAAATGTATTAAAACTGGACTACGAGTCCCCCCCACGCATAAAAAATAATTAAACGACAGTTTTTAAAAAAAAAACGGTGATAAAAGAGCACACAATCCACATGCTAGTAAGTGGATGATGTGGCCCATCTTTACAGTTCAGACGACCAGAATCGGCATCTATCAACGCTAACGAATCAAATTTTTCCCTAATATTAAGATGAGGTTAAGATGAGATGCCTTACTTTACCGTTATTCCTAAAGAAGTTCGTCTTTTTCCTTTCTGTACACTGATACTTGAATATTATAATACCAACATTGTGCTGCTATTGTATGCCGTAGTGTAGAAATTTTGTCTAAATATATTGTCATCATTACAGCCCATTACAAGTCCGGCTATCCAAGCACGTATATTTTTTTAGTCACAGTATGCTAGGTTCTGAACACGTATAATTTTTAACGCTTTGTTATTTTTAAAGAACGTTCTGTAACGAGTCATTCACGCTGCACCTAGATCAAGGGCGCGCGTTCGGATTGATGTTTGATAAAACAAGAACTTGTACAAAAGTTTGAGTTAAAAAGTGGCTATTAAAACGACTTGAGGTTCCACCCTAAAGACTGACATAGTTATATGAAAATGACGGAACCGACGTAACTACCTCATCTATCGCAAAGATCCATACATACTATATAGTCGATTTATCGTTACCATATTCAAGATAACCTGGGTTTTTGTTGCGATCTACGATGTCGTCCGCGATCAAATAAATTGCTAAGGATCGTAACATAGGTACACTACAGATCCATCGTTTCGATCAGTCTGAACCGACGGATCATAGCGTATATAGGTCCCTTTAAAACCGACGGATCATAGCGTATATAGGGCCCTTTAAAACCGACGGATCATAGCGTATATAGGGCCCTTTAAAACCGACGGATCATAGCGTATATAGGGCCCTTTAAAACCGACGGATCATAGCGTATATAGGGCCCTTTAAAACCGACGGATCATAGCGTATATAGGTCCCTTTAAAACCGACGGATCATAGCGTATATAGTTCCCTTTATAACCGACGGATCATAGCGTATATAGGGCCCTTTAAAACCGACGGATCATAGCGTATATAGGTCACTTTAAAACCGACGGATCATAGCGTATATAGGGCCCTTTAAAACCGACGGATCATAGCGTATATAGGGCCCTTTAAAACCGACGGATCATAGCGTATATAGGTCCCTTTAAAACCGACGGATCATAGCGTATATAGGGCCCTTTAAAACCAACGGAGCATAGCGTATATAGGGCCCTTTAAAACCGACGGATCATAGCGTATATAGGTCCCTTTAAGACACTCACAGGGCGGTTTTGGGTAGTGGATATTCTTACACCACCATTACACGGTTATAAATAAATATACTTCCTTACTTTTTTACCAACGGGAAAAATCTGTATAGTATTGTACTGTATAGTATTTACGAACGAAGTAGGAGCTTGTGGTACGAGTATAGATAACTTTCTTTATTCTTTACAAGCCAAAGACTTCTATGTATTACTACTAAACCGGCACCCTTACACACTCTCCCAAAGATTATCTATTTCTCTTCTAATTGGCTACATTTGTCATGCTTGGCAAGCGGGTCGGCAATGTTTTTTATTTTTATTCTGTTGTTATCAGGAAGATGATATTGCCCATCTGCTGGTTAATTTTCCCTTTGTCGCCTTTTACGATATCCACGGGACGGTATGGGGTAGTGAATATTCTCATACCGCCTTTACACGGTTATAAATATGTAAATATACTGCCCGTCTTTTTTTACGTATGCTTATCGCGCAACATCGGCTGAGCAGGAAGCTAGCACAGTAAATATGCCACGAAGTTGTATTTTCGTTTACGACCGTTTTTAGACAAACACTAAATACAATTATATACTTATATCTGAAATAACCATAAAAAAAACGTTCGTCGTTTAACACAATTAAGATCTATACTAGTCTCGACCGCTCACAGTCGACTAAAGAAATTACGGAGAGTTGACCGTAACTTAGTGAAAGAAAGAAAGAGATATTTTTGTTTGGCCATTTCTTAACAAATTAGCACTAAATACTCAAAATAATATTTATACACTTTCAATGAAAAATAAATCGTTTTGATTAAATATATAGATACAAAATAAATATTAAAAAATATACTATATAAATATAGTGCGCAAATTATAATACCGTAGTGCCCGTTTTGTAAACATTGAGGTCTTTGGCACACTCCCACTAAATATACTGCCCGATTTTGTTTTACTGACGGGAAAAAATCTGCCATTATTTACAAACAAAGTGGGAGCCTGTGGCAAAATTTTCAATCTTATTATTTACCTTATACATTATACGATCAATATTTATATCGAGATAAATTATCGCGAGGGCGAAAATTCGACCTAGCTAGTTATATACCTTGTAATGTAACGTATATCTCCATCTATCTTTCTTAGTTGGTTACTTGGTTGGTTACTTAAAATATAGCTATTTCATAAGCTTCTTAAACTAATTATACCAATTGCTCGTTTTTTTTCCTCACGATAATAATAGCTAGAGCAGTATCTCAACTAGCCATTTATGCGATTTAATTCCCCTCTTAGTGTTGCCATGACAATGGCAAGA